TGTGATATAAAAATACTCCCCTTGTGTTAGTGGTGAGCTGAATGTAAAGACAGGCTGATGAACCTCCGCAGGCTGGGGTTTGGTGCTGTGTGACAGCCTGACACGGTCACGCTGCTGGGAACTTGCTGCAGAATAACCCAGGAACTAGAATCATAGAATCATTTCTGTTTGAAAAGACCTTTAAGATGATTGAGTCCAACTGTAAACCTGACACTGCCAAGTCCACCGCTAAACCATGTCCCTAAGCACCTCATCTTCACATCTTTAAATATCTCCAGGGATGGTGACTCAACCACTTCCCTGAGCAGCCTCTTTTGATGCTTGACAACCCTTTCAGTGAATAAATTTTTCTTAATATCCAACCTAAATCTTCCATGGTGTACCTTGAGGCCATTTCCTCTTGTCCTGTCACTTGTTACTTGGGAGAAGAGACTGATCCCCACCTTGCTGCAGCCTCCTTCCAGGTACTTGCAGAGAGTGACAAGGTCTCCCCTCAGCCTTCAAACTAGCCCATGAGTTATGACCCCAGCAATGGGAAAGTGAGAAGTCATGTACCTGTGAACCAGCTGCTGTTCTTCCTATGAGGAAAGGCTGCCAAGAGGTAACTTGATAGAGATATCCATCTTTTTCTTAGCCTGCTGCTTTGGTCTGAGCAACCCGACTCAGAACAAGGTTTCTGCTTCATTGCTACTGCTATTAGCATCTTTTCTCACATACCTCCTTCATCTCCCTTGTCACAGCTCCTGGAGGCTGGGATGTATTTCTGGTCCCAATGGCAGATGTACAAAGTTTCACCTTTTATTTTATTTTATTTTTTTTTAATCTTTTTTCTCCTTCCTCCTGGGACAGCTGGTTATCCAGACCCTGGTTATCCAGGGAGTGTGCTGAAGACCTGGGAGATGAGCTCTTAGCTTTGGAGAAAAAGGCTTTTCAGTCATCTGTCTAGAATAGTGGAGGCTCTTTTTGTTTGTGGAAGAAAGGCAAGAGACCTTCTGTAAAGCCCCCTTCTTCCTTTCCTTTTACCAGAATTTTATATTCTTCCTTCAGGTAAACCACACCCTGTTATATTTTAGCAAGCTCTGTATTTTTAAAGCTGTTTTCAATGCTTTACAGCAGTCCAAAAGGAAAAGTGGAAAATATATCATCATGAATACGTGCTAATTTTTGAAATGTTAGTCAAGCATCAGTAACAGAAGAGAATGAATAATAGCTTTATGGGCATTTTCTTTTGTCTTTGCCATACATGATGTAAAATGGAGTACAGAGAATTTCTTTGAAAGAATTCTTTCTGTCTTTTGATGCAGTGAGGGAGTGTAAAGCTTTCTTCAACAAAGTAACATCTCAAAGCCAACTCCGGTTGATGTGTATGTATTTATAAACACTAAGGCTCCAATTACCATAAACCTTATTAAATCACAGCAGCTTATTTGTTGTTCTCCAAATATGGATATGGCCAGATGTCAGTCAAAAAATTGTAAAAAAAAAAATTCCAGCCTAAAACTAACCTATTTTATGACCTAGAATTAGAGCATAGTCAGCAAGAAGTAATTTACCACTGGGATATAATTGCTGTGAAATACAATTTTTTAATCAATGGGATAGATATGGGTAAATTGTATTGCGTGGCAGTGCTACAGTTTCACTGCTTCATGATGAGCTGCTCCATAAATGTGTTTTAAAAAATGTAAATGCCTGTCTGATAAGAAATCCTGAATGTGGCAAGTCTTACTTAAAAGCAAGTCAACACACCAGAGAACAAAAGAAAATTCTGTGTAAGAAAAGAAGCAATATTCTTGTTCTTATGGGATGCTTCCAATTAAGGAAACAAAGCAGCACAGATGATGTCTCTGACTTTGGAGCAGGACGTGTTGTTGTGCCAGGGTCTGTCCTTGTGCAACTGGTCATAAGCTGAGGGCCAAATGTGACAGGGGTGGATGTGAAACCTCTCTGTCTACACCTGGGGGTCTGAGACAGGTGTTCTGCTAGATGCTGTGGGGCTCCAGCATGCTCATTTTCACATGGAGATCTTGATATCCACGTCTTGCAAGAGTTACCTTTTACCTAGTTAGAGGAACACTATTTTAGTGTATGCTGCCTGTTACATACAACACTGGTTGTATGGAAAGAGGGTTTTACTGTGCACACACAAAGAAGAAAATGAATGCTAACTGTGTCTCCAAATTCCATGCTAGTAGAGAGTCAATCTCTGTATTTTAATTAAATAACCAGTACATGGAAGTAGCACTGAAGACATTCTCCTCCTCTCTTGGCAGGCAACCTTGGTTTTATGGCTGGGGCTTTAATCTTCCACGAGGCCAAGCACTATTAGAGAAATGGAACCTTATTCCAGATGGAATAGATATTCTTATAACACATGGACCACCTCTCGGTAAGAAAATACTAGTGCTCTTAGCTCTATATTTCAGTTATACAGTAACCGATGGCTCTCTTAAGACATAGAGTGCAATCCTGGTTTACAAAAGCCAAAAGTAATATCCATACTGATTTCAGCAGCACCAGGACTTCAGCTCAGGTTTATGTTTCATGATTAGCAATGCTCAATGGTAGGGAATTAAAGAATGGCTTAAAAAATAAAGCCTTAACACATAAAGCCTTAATGAGCTCTATAAATAAGCAAGGTCTGGTTTCAGTATGGATCGTATGCATCTGTTCACTCTGCCACTGGTGAAATGAGTATATTTAAAGCATGGAGCCTACTTGAAGAGAAATGCAGGATTGGGATCTTAATTTTTCAGCACTGTCCTTCTTCCTCAGTTGCAGTAGCATGACCCCACCAGTGAGTACCCACTGTACTTCTGCACTTTGTGCATCTTCTGCCTGACAACCACCAACGCTGCTATTGTTTACCTGTTCTTTGGACAGTGTGGGTGAATTGTCTCCCTGCTGTACCATCTGGCAACACTATCAGACCAACAAAGAGACAGCTTTGCATTTGTGTTTTACAAATATTAATACAGGTGATATAAAAGCCAGGAGAGATTTCCCGTGTTCCTAGATAACAGTGGAATTACCTGTGTTACAGAGGTAATACAATCACAAAAACGTTTCCAGATTCAGTAAAGGCTTAAGGCTTTTAACATGTTTTTCAATGTTTTTAACAAACAGCAAGCTGTATTTAGTGCATCTGTGTGTTTAACTCTCACTAATTTAATAAATGGACACAAACATGAAGCACGTACTTAAGTGTTCTGCTGAGTTGTATTGTGGAGGAGTGCTTTGTGTGAAATGAAGGCAATTGGTTTCTTTAAACTTTTTTGTTTAACTTTTTGTTAAACCTTTTTTATTAAACCTTTATAATTTCCTCAAGCTGAAGCCCTCTTGTCTTCCACCCTTTATTCTCTTTCAGAGCTCGGAGGAGAAAGTATCTAAAGGGTTTGTGTTTTGTTGGTTTTTCTTAGAAAGACATGTTTGCATTCCACTGCTCACTAATCCTGAGGGAAAGGACTTCTTAGTGAGCATGGTTTCTCAGAGTAAGGGTGTGTGTTTTGATACTTCACCTAAGTGGAGTCTCATGACATGCCATAGGCTGATTTTAATGTGGACCTGTATTGTAAAAGTGGATGGCAGGAATTACTTGTTTAGACCTTGAGGCACCATCTCCAAATGGTTAGTACTGGGGATAATCCCTGTTAGGATCCAAGGGATGACACTGGGTCTCTGATATGCTTTTATTTATAAGTCATATTTAAAACAGATTCAGAAAAATTTTAAGAACTTCTAAATCCATTTTTAAAAACAGCTGTAAAGAAATCAAACCTTCATCTGATCCAGAGAATATCCCAGTATCTAGTACTTGAAATCCAGTGTTGGAGAGTGGAGAGAGAGGGGTTCACACCACCCAGCTTCAGCCACCTTGCCAATTTAGCCGTGAGGCTCTGGGATCATCAGAGGGAGGAGAGCATCTAGAGAGCACTGCATAGCTGGCACGCAACAGACAGGCTTTAATGATAAATTTATTAGTAAATTTAATAATGAAAAAGTAATTTAATAATTGTAGTAATTCCAAGGAAGAGCTGCCCATCTCCACTCACTGTAACAGGATAATGGAAATTGCCTCCATCTCCATGCCTCAGTATTTGTGCTCTTTTTTTTTAATTCTTAAGCTCCAGCCATCCTCCAAGGATTTTCTTTTTTAAAAGTTCCCATTTCTTTTTCTTTTACTTATTGATGCATTAATAGATGTCTCAGGTACAGAATCCTCTGCCTGAGGGCATCAGCTGTTGGTTTTCCTGACACCTATGGCAACAAATACATTACACTTGAAAAGAAATTAGCACTCTGCCTAACTTAAAGAACCTCCTTATTATGTTGCTCTGTCCACACACATTTTGGGAGACAGGATCCTTCTTGGCCCTCCCAGCCATTTATTTTAAACAGCAGTCTGATTACTGTTGTTCTGATCTTGGATAGCATCACTAGAGCTGTTTCTAATGATCATAAATAGCAATCAGTGCTCTTGCAAATCCCTCATTTTTTCTCCAGCATGGCTGCCTAAATTCTGTCCATCATCCATTTTCTGTCCTGCTTTCTCATCCCCTCACTTCAAAAGAGCTCACATCCTCCTAAACTAATTAATACTACACTCTTGGAGAGATGTAAAATTGCCTGCATGATTTAGATGCAGGAGCACCTTTAAGAGTTAATGGGCTTTGTGTTTGTAAGACAGTTAGGTATTAACAAAAATCTAAGTAATTTTTCTTTTCTGTTTTAGAGTAGTGCTTTGGGATGCAAACAGGGCAGGGATAGACAGGTTCACACAGGATGAGAAAACAAAGGTTAAAACAGCTAATATGGACCATTTCATTAGTAACTGGTTTGCTGTTAATAAAGATATGGCATGTATTTCATAGCTTCTGAAATGTATTTATGATTATGGGATCAGTGCTAATGCTCATTTCTATATTGGCATTTTTTTTAGTACTTTCATGGATAGTATAACTTTTAAAGTCTTTTCCCTGGTTCCTAATGATCTGCATTTATAACTCTTATTTATCTTTAAAAAGTTCACTTGTCTTTTTTTTTTGGTTTGTTTTTATTTAATTTCAGCTTTAAGTCTTCATTTGTAGCTGTCTGCTTGATTGTCTGTGCCAAAGATTTATACTTTCCTGACAGCTGCAGAAACCTGTATCAAGTAACCAAACATTAAAAAACCCCTAAGATGAACTCTAATTGTTAGCTAGGTGTAATCAATTATTCTTAGTTTGTGTAGTCAGGTGTACATAATAAGCTCCAAACATATGGGAAAGCTTCAGAAGGGTGATAATGCATGTAAACAAAAACATGTTCAACATAAATAATGCTTAATTTAATGGAGAAGTTAATTTTATGGATTTTTTGTTTGTGAAGTTTTTGAAGTGGAAATGCTTGTGGTTTTTTGTTCACCACAGACATGTTGACAATTAACTGTTTAAAATCACCTATAGTTATAACATGCTTGCTCTGAAAAAAAGCATGACAGGATTCCAGAGGAATTGCTGGCCTCACTTTATGTTAAATACTTATTATTTCCCACAGTGAATTTTGACCTGTGTTGGATACCAAGAGTGACTGATCAGATCGGTTGCCAGCACTGAGCATTGTTCTGCTCTGTCTGTAATTCAGTGGGGCTTTCTCTTTGTACATCCCCCTGACAGGAGCCAAGCAGCATCTTCAGAGGCATCTGGATGAATTAGGAGCCTATGGCCATTATCAGAACTTCCTCTATTGACACTTGGGATGCCACATTCCCAACTCATTTCTGACAATTGCACTTAGCTCTCTGGATAACTATGATACAAGGGCAATTTTTTTCATTTCCATAAAACCCCACAGTATACTGAGCCCAGTTTTCAGTCGCTGGCATCTGAAGAAGTATTTCTCAATGTGTGAACCTACCCTGAAGTTCTAGCAAATCTGAGAGCTTTTCTGAGAGCTGAAGTGCCACAGTTCTGGTCTTCTAAGCCAGTTGGTTGGCTGCTGTTTAGCCATCCTTGAGTGGATGTCAAAAGGAATGTATGAAAACTAGGTCCAGATTCTGTTCCCCTCTAGCTGTCTACTCTTTTCTCAAAGACACAATATATTTAAGCCATTCCAGCAATCTAAGAGCTGCAAAGCTATGACAGGAGCTCAGGGAAAGTACTAGAACGACTAAAGAAAAACAGAACTGTTACATCTTTTAGATTTCCAGATTTGAGCCTGATGAAAATGGTAGAACACTGGAAAGAAAAAAAACATTGGCTATGGCAAACCCTCTCATGAATGCAACGTCCTTCTTGTACTAGTATTTTGAAGGAAACATGAGACTTCAGTTGGCACTAAGAATCCCCCTGCAGTATGTTCTTAGACACCTCAGCAAGCTGGTGTACGTTTTGTCTATATTCATAAAAAACCCACATTTTTATAAAAACTTCATGCAAATAAATACAGCAGTGAACATCTACTGCAGAAAGGCTGAGTTTCTCTTCCTGTCTGAGGTCCATAGATTCAGACTGGTGGGGCTTGCTCTGTCATGAAGTGCTGAAACCAGTTCTATTTGAGGGTGTTGTTTTTAGGCATGCTGAGAGTTCCTCACCTGAGTTCCACCACTATTAAGATCCAATATGATAACAATATAATTTTATTATTAGCAACACAGGTTTCATTGTATCAGTTAAAAGTGTTCAATTTAAAAAACTGGATCCCAGGACTAGATTTAAATAGCTAAAGACATTGACTTAGATTATCTTTAGAGACTCACTTTGAACATACTGCTCTTTACATGTCACTCTTAAAGGAAAAAGAATGGATAAAGCATTGAGTTTTCCCATTAACAGCAGTGCAAAAGTGCTGTAATTGCAGTGATTTTTTTTTCCTTGAAAAAGAACTGGCAAGAGTTATCACAGTCCATTTTCTTTGGATGAGTGTTTGTGGTTGTCCTCGAGTATTTTTATTTTCTTCCTCTTCTACTCACCAAGGCAAACACTTTTTTTCCATGGCAATTCTCCTATGGGTGCTCATGAAAAGCCACGAGACACGAAATCTCAAAAATGCTGTATAGCAATACAGCTTTTCAGATAACCTGTCTTCTTTTAAAGCTTTCCTTTCTCTTCCAAAGGTTTTCTAGACTGGGTTCCTAAGAAAATGCAACGGGTAGGATGTGTTGAGCTGCTGAACACAGTCCAGAGACGAATACAGCCAAGGCTCCATGTTTTTGGACATATCCATGAAGGTCAGAACACATTTTTTGCTGGATATATTTAGAAACTGTAAATACAGAGGTTGTCTGGTTTAACTAGCATTTTCAAATTTGAATGCATGAACTGAAGCACTTCTGGAATTCAGATTCTTATTTAGCTGCATATAGAGAGATAAATTTGGCTGATACCCAGATTTCAGTGTTTGTACTTCAGCTTCTCTTTCAGTTTCTGCATCTATAGAACAGGGTGATGCCTCCTTCACAGAGAGTATGACTGTGAATTTTAAAATAAGAACATGAGTCCGTAGTTACAGAAAGTGACTAAATATTAGGATTGATGGATTGTATTTTCCTCTGCTGAATCTCTGTGACTTGAGATAATTCATTTAAGTTCCCTATGTCTTGGTTTCTGTGTTAGTAAATGGGCGAGAATGCTTTGAGGGCTGCTTCTAAGGCTTAATCTTCAAGATTGTACAATAAAGGTTGTCTCTCCCCATCAGTGCATATATGATACTGAAATCAGGAGGGATATCACCACTGACTTGTGTGGAAGTTGAAGACGTGTTCATGTATTTATTTGCTTTGGCAGGGGAAACACTGTGTACCCAAACAAAGCAAAACACTTCTCTGGGCCATTTGATTTTTAACTGGAAAAAAATGAGGTCCCTTCACATCAGCCCATTAATGGTGACAAATCTGCTCCACTGGGGTCACTGACAGCAGGAGTTCATCTCCAGGCAAAGGTAGATGCTGTCTGCTGTAGAGAAGTTCAACCTGTTCACATACCATGGCAGCAAGACTTTCAAGCAGTGCCCCCACCTAAAGAAACCACTGGGCTGTGCAGAAGTGTCCCCATTGGAATGTAAGCATGTATTATCAGCTGCTTAGTTCTTGGCAATGCTAACTTACTGGCAGGAAAAAGTGTTCCACAACTGCCAGTTTTCTGCTTCTGGGACTGCTCCAGCCTTTGATGTAGGATCTCTGTGGGTCTCAGCAGTGCAGAAGTGAACAAATGGAAAAACTGGAGTAGCTGGCATTCAGATACTTCTGGTTTTGTGAAGAGCCATTACCCTTCCCAGGAAATCCCCCTCTCACTTGCTGCTGGGTGCTTTCACCATGCCAAGTTAGAAGTGACATTGCTGAGAGGTGTGCTGGTGTAAAATTGATGGATGAGACACTCAGATCATTATTCTACAGCTCAGGGATTAAGTCCATTCTCCTGGTGTGAGAGGGCGAGGGCATAATGGAGAGGGCCTGTAAATGCCTAATTAATGTCCAAAGTGCTCTTAAATCACAGAGTAAGCAAACACCACATAGGCTGTATTTTTCCTAACCCTTTGCTGTTAGAGCAGTCTTTGAGATTCTGTACAAGAGAGCTGATTGTCTTTTGAGAAATCATAAGCTGGGTGGGTTGCAGGGGGGAATACAAGCAAACAGTTAGCAAGCCATGAAGCTTCAGGCAGGTAAACAAAATCACATCTGCTAAGACCAAGCCCAATTTTGGCTCCCAAGGGAAATGAATGGCACCTCCACAGAATGGTAAATCTTGTGAATGAATACAGTTGGCACAGCAGGTATCAGAACACAGAAACATGGTACTCTTCCTGTTAACTATCATAATTTTGAGAAAACAAATGGGGAGCTGTGTAGCCTGTTTTGCAGGGGGATGCTAAATCTCCACAGAGGAGAATTCCCATTGCAGACAGCCTGTGCAAATGAAGCTGCTCTTTGTAGAGAGAATGCATGATTGGAACAGATGAGTTCTTCCCCTGACTGAGCATAGCCACATCTGCAGCAGTCATTTACTGAACATCCAGGAGGAAGAGATGCTTAGAAGAGACGTTTCTTCCTCTTCCCCCTCTGCACTGCTGTCTCTGCCAAAAAATACCTCTATGCACAGGCTTGCTGCTGATGGACCCATGGAAGTGACAAGGAGCGTGGCAGGGACTCTGGTTAAAAGCCTGGTTTGCTCATTTCAGCCAGTAGCTGGCTGAGGTCATGGCCAAGGAAACTGTTGACATTAGGGTAGGAGTGGAAACTGTAGCATTAGGAATCTTCCAGCAAAAAAAAAAAAAGAGCATATTAGGAAGCTTTTTTTTTGTTCTCTCGAAACGTAGCTGAGGAAACAGAAAGTCCCAGCAGCAATGCTGACTGTCCTCCCTGCAGTTTGTGTTTTACACAGACCAATTGTTCCGTGGCAAACAGCAAATGATTTAAAGAAATGTCTGTGACAGGAACCTGACAGAGTTTTCTTCCCTCCTTAGTCCCTAATTACAGTGTGGTTTTTCCATGGGGAGTCCAGGGGGCCCTGCATTATTCAGTGTATTCTAAGGAACAAAAAGAAAGGAATTTGGCTACTGGTTCTTTGTTTGTAAATTATGCAACTATCAATGCCTCTATAAGACATGGAATTGCACTCAGAAGAACTGCAGGATCCTAGGTGCCTAGGATTTGAATAGTTGGAACTCAGTGTATGTAGCAAGGAATATGTTTGCTGTTAACTTCATTAATGGTGATACTGAATCGTACAAATGTTTTCTATCAGGTGATTTCCCCAAAATCACATACTTCTGATTATGAATGCATTTCTTCATATTGATCATAATATTACAAGTTTCCAACATAAAGTTTTTTCTTTTAGTGTGATAAAGCTTATGTTTTTTTCCTAGTCATTCATTGAAAGATTTTAGACAATGTGAGAGTGTGTCAACCTTTCATAACACCAGGACAGTTAAAGATCTTCTTCTCTTTCTAAAACAGCATTTCACTGTATCTCTGCATGCAGGAGAGCTGGAACTTTGACTTTCAGCAGATTTAGCTCTGGGTGACTACTCAGACATGAGATGTAGCTAAAGCTTTTTCACCACTGGTGAGATGCACAGAAGGGGGTTTTCCCCCATGGAAATGTTCTGGTGTCGTAAGGTGTGAATTCACCTTGTCTGTCAGAGAATGCCTTAATAAAGCCATATTTTTCTCTTCCTGGGCAGGCATTTTGGTGTCTTTCCATCAGATTTGGTAGAAATTGGCCAACAAGTTCAAATACATAGGAAGAAAAGATTCCTAGTCAACAAACCCCAGCAAGGTGCACATGCACACGTACTACTTAGCCAGGCAATGCTTTTTATTCAGTGGTTGCCAAAAGATGTACAACACGAGACAGAAAAAAAGGTGGAAAGATGAACAATTGCCTAAATGTGCTGCACTGATGACTGCAAACCTAAATGATCAGGAATACGTTTTTTTTCCAGTGCTGCAATTGCCTAAGCTCCATCTTCTCATCCTTTCCAGTATCTGTCTTTCTAATGAGGCTTGGTGAAGTGGCTGCCAGAGATCACAGCCAGGAGCTAGTGAGGGTCCACTTGCCTTTTCTAACAGAATTTGAAAGATGGCAAAAAATTCTGCTGTAGGACAAAAGATGGTTTTAATTCAGGAGACCTTTATGTTTTGCATGAAGATAATTTTCAAATTCCTTCTGAGTAATAGATGTGGCACTTATCATTGTGTGATAAAGGTGAACAATTAAAAAAAAAATATATAATGATGAATAATGAGAATAACCAGAGTTTTTCTTTCTTTGTAGGTTATGGTGTCATGGCTGATGGAACTACTACCTATGTGAATGCATCTGTGTGCACTGTGAATTACCAGCCACTTAATCCACCTATAGTTATTGACTTGCCTACTCCAAGGAACACATGATTATAACGAGGATTTAAAGTTGTACCAAACACATTAGCAACTTTATATTGCTGGCTGAGAATCCCAATAGGGAACCATTCAACAAAAAAAGCAAAAACCTTCTTCTTTTTTTCCCTGCTAGCTCTTCACAGATAAATTTTGAGTGACAAAAGTGAATGAGGAACAAAGACATTTTGGTGCCAGAAACAGATTAAAGACTTTAACATTTCACCATTAAAATACTTGTGAACACAGAGAAGTGAATGCATTCCACATATATATATACATATACATATATATCTCTCTCAAGTAGGGACTTTTGTATATACCGTACGTTATATTTGACTTATTAAAAGAAAAACATCTTTCAAAGGAGCATTTCTTTAAGAAAGTTTGCAGTTTAAACTGAAGTGTTTAGACTAGGATTTCCTCATTTCACGTTTCCCAGTGAGCTCTTGGTAAAAGAAAAATTATGGTAACGATGTTTTCCCTTAATTAACATGGCAAATATAAAAGATGGTGCACGAATGACCGGTCACAGGAGGGAAAGCTATTACTTCAAGTCCTCCAGGTCTAAGTCTTTGCATCTATTCAAAACCAATGCAACAGAGGCCCTAATTCACTGTACTGAAATGAAGTTTTACTACATCTGGCGTTACAGATGGTAAGGGAAATGGTGCATATTGCTGGCATGCTGTAAACAGCTCAACGTTCAAGAAGGAAGACTGTGTGAAGTGCAGTATAAACTCAGGAATTTGTAACCTGGCCTCGCCTGGGAAAAAAAAACCAGGATGACATTTCCCTTAAAAAAACCCAACCCAAACAACAAAACAACCCCAGTTTTCATATGGTAAGGCGATATGTGATTGTATGTAAAAAGTAAAAAAAACCCCACCCAATGTTCAGTAGTGGTATTTTTAAATAAAACCCACTGGGACTATTTGTTCAAAATCTGTTAATGGGACATTCAGGCAATGATGAGATTACTGGTTTGAATTTGGCCCCAGCCAGAAGTGATTAGACATCATTGCAATCATTTCATCCTTGGGGAACGTTAGGGATGGCAAAGGGAAGGGGTCATCCCAAGGTGGAGTTTGAGCATTCACTTTTGGGTAGCTGTGTGATAGTGTAAGTGGGATGAGTGATGAGTACACAGCAGTGGCTATGGAGCAGGGTCACCTCGCAGGATCTGTCATTGCTGTTTGCCCGTTCATGGACACTGCTGAGGGGCCCAAGACAAAATCATCAACTGAGCTGAAAGCCATTTGTCTTGTTGCATGTGACAGCAGGGAAGGTGAGGGATGTATCAGGAGCTGGTTGGGATGGCCAGCTGCCCTGGTACTGCCCGTGTGGCTTTCCTGCAGGTCAGCAGAGGTGTTGCAGCTGCTGGGATTTCAGTCCCATTCTAAGCAGAAGCTTGAGAATTGATTACAATCCCCCCACCCCCCACCCCAATTATTTCACATGTGCCCTGCAAGAAATAGCTTTCTGCCTTGAACTAAAAAAAACATTCCTGTGCTCAAAGAGGAGCCTTTTTGCCTTGATGGAGATAATTTAACTGCTGTATTCTGAATGTGGACATCCCAGATTTGGGGCTGGGGGCATCTAGATATTGATCTTGTTCACGCACATTGGGTAGATCATCACACTAGCAATACAGGGTTGTCTGCAGGTCTGTGCATAGCTGCACACATGTTTTGGATAACTCTGTATGTTACTTTTTGCCTGATACATGGATGTAAATGTGAGCTTCACGTAGCAGCTGCATGTACATTATATGCATACACAATCTAAAATGCCTGTGTTGCAAAGCCAGATTATGTTGGGCTCAGCTCTAAGCAAGGTGGGCAGAAATGTTGCATTTCACTGGCCTCCCCTGGGCAGCAGCTCTTTCAACTGCTGCTGGGAGCAGTGAGATTCAAGACCAGCAACTTACTCATGCTGTGGACCCACCAGGAACCACCAGAAAACACAAGTCACAGGTCTGTCATTTCCTGTAAGCTGTTGGGTGACTTGGAATCAACTTACATGCTGCTTTTTCCTGAAACGAAGCCCAAAACAATTGTTGACTCCTGCAACTGTTTTTTGGGTGAATAGTTCATGAGCACATCAGCGGCCTGCCATGAATTCAGAGGGGGCTGCTTTTGTCAAAAGTGTTGGTGTAGAAATTGCAGGATCAGCTCCTAAATCAGCAAGGGATGAAATTCATAGTTGAAAATGAGCTCCCGTCATCATTGGGAAGATGAGCAATCGTGTGTAGTCAGAATAAAAGTGTCTTACCTAGTCACAATTCAAGAGATTTGCAACAAACGTGGCAGGAAATTGGCTGTATGTTAAAAGTCTGAAATGTTTACATTTGCTCATGGCACTTAAGAGACTAAAAGTGGGGGGGAGAGGTCCTTTTATTAGCCTCAACAAAATTTCTATGTCGACCGTAAACTATTATCTTAAAAATGATTTTTTCCTGAGGTATCTTCAAAATACTGTGTATTTTTATGTGGAAAAGATACGAAAGCAGCTGTTACTTCAGAATATCATTTAAAGTACTTGAGGTATGAAAGCTTAAAGATTATTTAATCATTTTGGCATAACTTGATTGTTGTTGTAATTTTTGGTCAAGCATGTTAGACAAATAAAGTCTTAAAAAAACCAACCAACCAAACAGGCCTCTTTGCATCCACCTCGTGCACTCAGCTCCATGTGGGGAAGGCTGCCTGTGCTCTCCAGCTGTAGGAGACAGCCTGTAGGACAGGAAAGTTGTGGACAGGCTGGGGGGTCAGCTGGCAGAGGGGCTGAAGGTGCCCTGCTCCATCTGCCAGCTTCAAAGCACCACGTGTCCTGCAGAACGTAGTGAGTTGGAAGTTTGGGGTTGCAGAGAGAGGGGAGAGCAGCACTCACTGCTGATAACTGATATATTTGGGGGCAAGGGGATGGCAATATGCCAGATGTGCCCATGGATCAGGGAGAAGCTAAGGCAAGGGAATGCTGCAGCGGAGCTGTGAAGCAGTTGGGGAGCTGGGATGTCATCCTTTGGGAACGGGTGGCAGTAGGAGGAAGGGTGGTTTGTGCTCTTGAGTTGACTGTAAGGACACAAACTTCAGAGGGAGGTCAAGGCAAGGTGAGTAAAGCCCAGGCTTCTTGCCTCAAGTCTGATCTGCCTCAGATCAGGCAGGCCACGAAAAGGAAGGTTTCCAGAAACGCAGATTTGCTATTTTTTTTTCAGCTCCATTTAAGTTCAGGGATGCTCTCTGAAGATATTTCCCACCCCATCTCCCCACTGCTGACCTTCACTGATACCTACCCGGGTAGCATTGCTCCTGAAGGTGTGCTGATGTGTATCACTAATATCTGCATCCCCATCACCCCGCAGATTCGTTACTGAGATTCATTTCAGTTGGGTTCAATGCCAAGTAGGGGAGGTATCATTGCATGTCAATGGGATAAAGAAGGCAAGATTATTTTTACCTTCCTCAGTCACACAGGGCTGAGGATGTGAGATGTTCCTTGGCTACAAGGAATGAGCAAGCTGGGCCTTGGCTTGGGCCCTTTTCCCAGGCAGCCCCCACCCACTTCAGCTGCATCCCAGCCTGGGGAACTGGGTTTAGGTGTTCAGATGATGCTATTTGATAGCCCCTGAAGCCAGAGACTCCAAAACTACCATCATCTTCAAGGAGGCTGCTGCAGGGAGCGAGGCTGGTGGCAGCTGCACACCAAGGTGGCTGCAGGGAGGAGAGGTGGAAACTCCTGTCTCTGGGTGGAGCACGGGGACAGAGCAGGTGGGAAGGTGCTCTGGCCCCACTGCAGGAGGGAGCCATACGGAGTAAGAAGTACTTTGTCTTCTCCAGTTGCTGATTGCTGCAAATGGCTAATGTAAATTCTACAGAGGAAGGAGGAACAAGACGTTCCATAGAAGGCCATTTTTTGACTAATCTGCCCGTGGGGATCTTTACCCCCTTCCATTTATTCTTGTTTATATGAGAATTTCTCTCTTAAAACCCCATATTATTTCTCACTGCTAATGTAGCTCACATATAGCGAATATAACTGCAAATGTTCTTTTCTTTCAGGTACATGCCCGTCCCTTTCTTGCAAGTCTCTCTGCATCTGTGATTTTTAGTGGTATTACGGAGCAGTGAGCTCCCTGAGTGATGATGCACAGTGCATTAGAACAACAGTGTTTCGCTTAGCCTTGTGCGTGTACTGCTCTTCAGGTTTATTGACTGTCCCTTTGTTCTCTTTTTATGTGGAAAGTGTAAATAGCAGTACTTATATGTACCTTCTTTGTGTCATTCATTATTCTGTATATGGCCATTATGTTGCTTTTTACTCACTTTGTCTAGAAATTAAAACAATTTCAGTTCTAGCTAGACTCTATTTCTAACCCTCTTACTTTCCCATCTTGGAAATGCTCCCCTCTCTTTTTGATGTGTCTTTTGGGGAGCTGGTGAGATGCAGTGATGCCAGACAAGGACCTCTTCCTTCCTAACCGAGCATTTGGATACAGTTCCCTGCTACTTTTTCTCCTGATCTTTATCCAGTTCTATTCTTCATTTGTTTAGTATTTTGGGGGCAGTATTTATCTATGTTTCCAGCCCCCAGTGGAGGACCGTGGTGAACTGCCCATGAACCTAGCTGGGTTTTTCTACTTGAGATGTGACCACTGATCTGAACTTACCTGGTTTTCACAACCATCATCCCCTTTGTCGTGGGGGACCCTACTCAGGCTGTGTCCAGGGGGGATCCTTCTCCCCTGCTCTGCCCATTCCCTTGGCTTGGGTGATACCCTTGGCAAGCCTCATCAGCCCAAGCTGGGCTTTGCTGTGGGAGGCACCTTGTCTGCCATGTGTGGTGAGCAGCTCCAGGGCTGGGGATGTTGCTGGGTGTGATGTTTGCACAGACCTCATCCTGCTTTGGGGGTTTTTTTTTCTTAGCTAGTGCCTAACCCACAGCCTTTCTTTGCCTCTCACAAATAGCTCTTTCACAAAAGTCTTTATCAAAACCTTTGCAAGTCTCCACACCAATTATATCAGGGATATCTTTTCTCGCCAAGACTTTGATGTACCAAAAGCTTTCAAGTAGATTAAAGGAACGGGCTTTTCCTATCCACAGACCAATGGGCTTTGTTTTCCCCCTTCCCCAGTGAAGTGTACCCCCCTGTCCCCCCAGAGCACAATGGGCTAAAACTGAGCAGAGTAACTAACCTCACTACCTGCCACTAGGCCAGTGCACAACATGCCCTTGCACCATTTATTCTGATTGAGTGCAAGCCAATCCCATAGTGGACAGATGGCTTCCCACCACTGGAGAAGAGGCCATTCACTCCCTCAGCAATTTTTGTCCACGGGGCACTGCTGCACAGGGAGGTTGTGCTGCCAGCTCCCAGTGAGCCTCAGAGAGAGGGGGACAGCCACAGGAGACAACGACCCATACAGGTTTGCCATTCCACTTACTCTCATCACATTTCCCTTGTAACGTTTTCTGCTTTCTGGATGGGATGAGCAACTTGGGGGGGGGTCAGATGGGAAAATGCTGGATGCTGTAAACATGTTGCAGTGGCTTATGGTAGCACTAAGCTTCTAAATTAGGGTAAGGAAAATGCTCTGCCCTACCAGCTCAGCTACTCAATAGCCAGCAAAGGCTGGGGAGAGTTGAAAGTGATGTTGAAGCACCCTCCCAACACCCCAGCCTCAGCTGCCCCCTCCCCACTGCAGTTAGAGCCTGCTCCCTGTCAAGTGCAAATTGGGAATGTTAGGGGCTATCAGAGTTGATGGCACCTTTCCTCAGGGGCCACCAGAATGGTGGGAAGGGGTCACTAAGGGTCCTGGGATGCCTTCCCCCATAAAATACCCCTTGTTCATGGGGGAATGGCTGGGGAT